AATTTTTTTCTTTGAATTACTCTATTTTGTTTTCATTTTTAACTGTTGATTTTATTATTACTTAGCTAACCTTATATGCAAATAACATTTAAATTATATAGTATATTGGTGACAATAAAAAACGTATTATAATATGGTATGTATAGTATGGTTATTATATTATACTATACGTTCAAAAAATATAATATCAAATGCATTCTCGTAATTTATTTTTAATCATAAACAAATAAATGATTCATGTCTTGCCAATTTTAATAAAACGTCGAAAAAACTTCTAATTCATGCTTCAGTATTATTCTTTTTAAAGAATCCACTTTTGATAGTATATTATTATAATTAAAAGGAATGAATACCTAGTTATTAATTTGTTTTGATAGACTACCTATTAGTAATGAAATAATTTTTCTCATACACTTAACAAAATTAAAACTCTGAATGTACATTACTACCTCTTTATTCATTGTATGAATAAAAATACTTTCATTTTTCATTATTCTAATATCATCACTATAATTAATAAATGTAATAATAATTAATACAAACAATTTAAGAAATATAATCGTATCTATAGTAATTTATTCTACTCAAATACATCTTTTTTTTTTTTGATATCATTTTGGTACCTAATTGATAATGTTAAACTATTTGTAGATACTTAATTATAGAAATTTTAACTCATTTTGATATTATATTGTATATTGAAACATATTAATACATATGAAGAAGAATTCTTTTAAATTAACTGTAATTTGTATAATTTAAAATATTATATTACATTTTATTGCTGTTTTCTTAGTTTTATACTTTATATTGTTTACCAAATTCGTTTTTTCTCTAAAACCAACCAAGATGAAAATTTCTCGGAACTGCAATCATAAATCGTTCTAGCTGTAGAACGCCCATTAAACCTTTATAATTTACTTTTAAATACAAATGACTGTTTTTCTTTGCTTTTTTCAAATAAGTATTGGAACGTTATAATATTAATGTTATAATAATAATTTATTTTTATTTCATTATTTGAGTCATTATACGACTTGATGTTCTATTATTGTTTCAAATACATCATCTTTATAGATGTATTAGGCTATAAATCAATATAATATTGAAATGTTATTTAAAACACTTTGGAGCTTAGGCTAACTTAATAAACCAAAAAAAAAAAAAACTTAAAATATGTACCGTACTAATGGGTGGCTTTTTCCTTCAAAATATTCATAGTAAATTACTTTGTCCACATTTGCTTATTGTTCTAGCTAAGAATAGATAGTAAATTTCTTATAAAAAAAAAAAAAAACACACACACACACACACACACTAGTGTTCTAAGTATCAACATTCGACGTTATTTTGATTATTACGATTATTCATTTTTATGAATTGTATTTTTAGATATTTATTGAATATATTATAACTTTTTTTTTTAATGCCAGTATTAAAATGTATGTTTAATTTTTTTAAATAAATCATTTTCATATTATGTATAAGTTAATTATGTAAATTTAACTTATAGTACTAATTATATGGAACATTGTATCTTATACTTTAAAATCACATTAAATAAAAAAAAAAACATTAAAACATAAAATATTTGATAAGCTCGTATATTACGATTAGGTCACTAAAAGTAAATTAATTCGGTAATTAATTAATTTAATTACTTTTCGTTGATTATAATCACCCAATTTTAGGTAAGTACATACGTACTAAAAGCAAATATTTCAATGTTATCATACAAAACAATAATTTGTTTTATTTCAGTTAAAATATAGTACAAACATTATCGAACAAACTTTAGAATTTTTATTATCTTATATATAAATATAACAAATATTTTTGTTCAATAACACACTGGTAACCATTGCATATTTTTTACATCAACACATAAATTTCATTTACCTATATATTTAGTTTAATTATTTAATATACTTACATATTATTATATTATACACTATAAGCAAACTGATTTTTTTTCAATTATAATGATGCAAATATACTTTTTGCTTAATACTTGGCGTGTATTATTACGGCGTATTTTAATTGAATCATCATATGAATTTATAATAATACATTTAAACCGTTTCCTAAATTAGTTACAATAATCTAATCACTAAAGGGTGAAAATAAATTAATTTTGATGTAGGTATAAACTGAAATATTTAAAACCTTGGTCTTAAACTGGTATTTTAGTTGTTTTGTTTAGATAACGAGTGATATAAATTGTATGTAAGGAATATACTATAATGTAAACATAATCACTTGAATCCATTTTATTTGTAACGATCAATGTATTTCTTAGTTAATACCTAAGCATAATATGACCCATAATTCCAGTTAGTGTTTCTAATCAACAGTTAAGTATGCTGACTTCCATTTTACTTCAGAAGATATATTTCCTGCCAAACACAATTGGAACGGCATTAGAGTTTTCAAAAATCTGTGCGATTAGTTTGAAATTGTTAGACTTTAGTACGTGCTTGTTTATTCGAACACGTGTTAAACATAGGTGTACGGAAAGGCATTCGCTTGTGTTTTCGTTATAACACTATAATACAGTCTGCGCGGATATAATGACCGTAATAATTAAATTAGTAGGGAACTAGGTATGGAAAATCAAAGAAATACTTTTTCCAGTCGTTTCTTGAACCAGAAGTAATCTACAAAAAAAAAAAACCATCTGATAGACTTTTTGAAAGTGTTCAAAAAAAGTTTCTGTCGATCAACCTGCTGCCGAAAATGATCCGTTAAAATTATTACATAGATATATACTATTTGTTGATACCTTTTGAATCACCATCACATTACGTAACTATAGGTATTTTATTTTTACATTTTATAGAATGCGTACTATACAGAAGAAAAATGTACATGAAATGTTGGATAAAGCATAATAAAATATAACATATCATTTTCATCGTGAAACGTTTTAACGATGAACGTATTTTTTTATTTATTTTTTTTTTTTTATTGGTAAAAAATAACATCCAGACACTTAAGAGATACCTACATAATTTAAGTATGTAACATCATCGACTAAACGTCACAATAATAAATCAAAAACAGATAGGAATGGTCATAAAAAGCACTTAAATACATTGATTGTAAACATAGATTCAATTTCATAAAATATTATTATTGAATGACTAAGTCTGACGAATCCCGAATGGAATAACTGCTGCCTCTTTAGTAATGGAAAAGTCTTCGAATTTTAAATGGAAATAATCAATTCTACACCAATAACTATAGAAGATAGGATTTAATTATTTTCATAAAAGAATTATATTTTTTACTTCTACATATTATACCTACATTTAATGCATATAATTTAGTTAATTTCTTTGTTTATACTGTCAGCGTGATAAGTAACAAATATTTATATTAACGTAAAAACCTATTTTTATAATATAATTACGCTTAAAAGTACTATTATTATAATATTATTAATAACTTTACATGAGATGATTTTATGTTTTAAAAATATTATTTAATATTTTAATTGATAGTCATGAAAAAATCATTTATGCAATATTTGAAAATAATTTTTATCATAAGGTTAAACATAATATAGAAATATTAATTTTTGGTACCCAAATAATTTTTAAAAAACATTTACGATCAAATGGTAAAATCTACACATGCAAATTATCTAATCGTTTGTTTGACTGGAGAATTCATGCAATTTAAATGTTATGTTATTTAATATAAAACCGTATTTAAATACATTCATTTTAGTTTTAAAACTATTTAAACTTGTAAACTAATAAACTGCACATTTTTTAAACTATTTTAATACCTGGCTTCCACGAGAAAGTGCTGTTTACAGACATTTAAAAGCATGCAGTATATTACCTAGTATAATAGATTGAAACACAACGACAATTTAAACGAAACAGTGTACACATTTTATGTATGGTAAAAAATTGGCTTAGAAGAAAACAATTTAATTAAAAACAAAACGTGATAAATTAAATAGAACAATAATAATCAAATGATGATTGTTTTTCTCCGAATTCATGGGGTGGAATAATAAGAGTATTTTGGGCAACGTTATGTGAAGACTGTAGTGGATGGAATAAAATATTATTATTTGTCTATTAGATGGTTTTTAAAACGTATATTGAATATTTAAATTAATACCTATCAGTCAAAATAGATAGCCTACAAAGCCAAAAATAAAATTGGAAATAAATTGACTAGGTATCAATCAGACGTGTATGCTGAGGTACGAGCTAAGTAGGTTTAACATTTAGTTAATGGTTTTTTATCATGACTCATGAGGGATAGGGATAAGAAGGGAATTTTAGGACAAATAAGTTATAAGAATATAAAAACAAAAGTTACATATTGTATAAATTTCAATATACCAACTTATTCACTATTGAATCTCTAGAAGTGTGATGGTTGAAAAAAACAGAACCATTTTAAAGTATAAGTCTTATGGGAACACACAGTTAATTGCTTTTGGAGAAACAAATAGTTTAAAATCTTATTCGATCCTTTAGATTTCACTAAGGAGTTTAAACTTTTAAATCGTGTTTCTTCAAGTGAGGACTCAGGTTTCAAGTTTAACACAGAAAAACTGAACGATGAATAGAAAGTTATGACTATCATTTTCATTAGTAGATTATCTGAAGCTCAACTGTAGGGGTTTAGTGTGTACGAAAACACTTAACATCAATACCATTATAAATTATCATTCAAGTAGTATATTATAATTGTATAATATTATAGTACTCGAATTATTTTTCTTCATCAATTATAAAATTATTCTATTATTTCGATTTTCGGTCATAAGATAATATTTTTTGCCATCATTCGCACGTATTCCAATATCCAGACCTAACTACCAGCAAACCACACCCTATCCCACCACTCCTTCTTCCCTAAAACAAATACGATATCTGTGCACAAATAAACTTGACTGTTTCGATGGTACAACAATAATATTTTATAAATTATAATTTGTTTGTTGTTCCGCAGACGTAAGACATCGATGCAACTTTTCGGTGGCGAATGGCTGCGGCTCGGACGACGGCCACGGACGCGATGAATTTGTCGGCTACTGACCACGACGGTGCGACCGGCAACTGGTCGTCGTCGTCGTCGTCGTCACCATTCCCGGAGTGGAACGGTGCCAGCAACTGGTCCGTATTTTTTTGTCCCGTGTTCGAGGACGATGGGACGGACGATGACGACTACAACCTGCTGTTCGAGTTCATCACATACGGCGTGCTGCTCAACGTGATCGGGGTGTTCGGCATACTGGGCAACGTGATATCAATGGTGATCCTGTCCCGGCCGCAGATGAAGTCGTCCATCAACTACTTGCTGATCGGCCTGGCCCGGTGTGACACGGTGCTGATCATCACGTCCATGTTGCTGTTCGGGTTGCCCGTCATCTACCCGGCCACCGGCCACCTGTTCAACTACTACTTCAAAGTGTACCCACTGATCGCGCCCGTCGTCTACCCCATAGCGATGGTATCGCAGACCGTGTCCGTGTACCTGACGCTCACCGTCACCCTGGAACGGTTCGTGGCCGTCTGCCATCCGCTCCGCGCCCGGTCACTGTGCACGTACGGCCGGGCCCGGGCCTACGTGGTGGCCACCATCGCATTCGCCGTCCTCTACAACGTCACCCGGTTCATGGAGGTGCGCGTCCAGAAGTGCATGCACACCGGTTACAACCAGTTCGTATACCAGGTATACCCCACCGACCTGCGCAACAACCGCGACTACATATCCATCTACATACACTGGATGTACCTGCTCATCATGTACTTCATACCGTTCGGGTCGCTAGCAGTKCTCAACGCCGCCATATACCGTCAGGTGAGTCCGACGTCAGTGACGTGTGCGCCGGGACACGTGTGAATCACCGCAAACGTTTTCAATTTCATGGCTAGCWGCAGCCACTCGTTAACATATGTCTGTGTTGGTTGTTGTGCAGTTGATGGGAGGAGGGTGATTAGTAGTAAAGGAATAAGGGAGGAGACGAAGACGGYGAAGCCCAAAAGCGCAAATGGTCAATTATTTTCGATAAACYAAAAGCGCAAAACGAATTTGCGCTTTTGTACCTTAGTAGTGGTATAAAAGCGCAAAAATAAATTGCATTACCTGATACAATATTGTACCCGTTACACTATAGGTTTCATTTTAAAATTATTATAATAGTATATTATTTCAGTTTAATTTAGTACTTAGTATTATCGAATTTTATCGTAACAAATTACGATAAAAAATATTTCAWGATTGGATTACTTAAAAACKGTGGGCTTCAAATTTCAAATTTAATATTAAGGTACTTATTTATTTTTTTTTTTTTATTGATCTTAAACAAAACATCTATTAGTTTTTGCTATTAAATTGAATACAATTGTTATAATTATTTATATATTTTTATATTTAAATACACATTTTATAATCACTGCAAATAGCATAGTATATTAATAACTATATGATTTTAATTATATGTTTTTAACTATATGATTTTAATAAAATAACATTTTTTTTATAAAATTAGTTTGTGCTTATGGGTTATTAAAAAGGTAATTTTTTTTTTGCGCTTTTGGGTTGTGTTTGGGTCATATTTTGCGCTTATGGGCTACAGCCGACGAAGATATTTTTCACACGGTGTTATCAGATAGTCATTTCGAATATCATTTTTTACCTGTTTATAAATGTYATCGCCACAGATGAAAACACACTACTACATTGATTAAATTAAAAATAGTATCGATGACGTCTTATTCTCTCTTATTTTCAATGAGCGAAAAAAAATTCACCGTCGTTAAACTCTATCACTGTTAACGTAACATTTTCATTTATAATATGACCGCCGAGAACAAAGACTTTTAACGAAATTCGTAACTCATTATTATTTCATGCTTACGCCATTACTGACCGTCCGTTCGAAGGCCATGATACATAAATCTTTAAAATTATAAATTGTTGTAAAATTGATGATGGACTATAAAGAATTCGCTCGCAGTCGACCACTGCAAATACAAGTACAAAATTAAAATAGGTGCTTAACGTATTAAACATACAGCKGAAATGTATACATAATTTTTTATTTAATTTATAATAATTGACCAAATCTAGCCACTCTGTTATCCATAATAATATCTCACYATAAATTGTTTCACCACTGCTTCACGCATGTTAAATTATGATACAAAAGTTTATAACATTATAACGACGACAAGGCTGAGCTCCAGCATAATAAAACTTTATAAAACGAGACCTRTGAACTATAATAATGATAATAGATTAACAGCTTCATATTTGTATTTATACTTTATCAACAAGCAAATAGGCCGTATAAAATGGGGACATATATATATATATATGATAATTATTTTATATGCGATGCATGCGGAACGTTAGTAATAATATTGTAGAAATATTTAATACGTCGCGTTTGTTATGTTGGATTTATTACAATATTTTAAATTTAAAAATTATGTTCCTATTAGGTAGAACCAACGCGGTTGGTCACGTTATCTAGCTAGTTTGTTCAGGCATATCGTTTAATACCAAATGGTTACTGTCGATTATCTAGGCCTGAAGTATTAGTCGCAAACTTTCAAACAATTTGACAATATATGGTTCAACCAGTGCTGAGTTTTAATTGTTATTTTTTCTWATCTACTTTTGATTCTTATTTATGAGGTACAATACATATAAATTATCATTCATGCGAAAAACGAAAACTTACAGTTGATATTAATAGTTGGTAAAATATAAAATTGATTAAATAATAAAAATGATGCAAAACGGAAAATGATTTAAGTATGAAATATTTTTTGAAAATATTTATCATACCTAATGGCTGCTTGATTGTTTAATCTTGTTTTCGATTGTTATTTTTTTAATAAATTTCTTCAAACTATCAACGTCAAACCTGTCTGAAATATC